AGAATATATGCATAAATTAAGTGACAATCAAATAACGCTTGTAAGCTTAAATGAAGCTCTGTAAAAAGAAATGTTAGAATTGGAGTAAAGCAAGGCTTTAGTTTTAAGAATAATTGAAGTAAGACCTTAGAAATGTGTATGAAACTTAAAGTGGAAGGAGTATCAGGCAGGATGAGGGAAGTCCAAAAAGGGAGTGGATATTATAAAAAAAGATGTATGATTTGTATAATTTTGTATTGGAAAAATTGAATAAAAATGATTTATAAAAAAAAAAGATTTAACTTGTTCATCCTTCGTATGCCACTCTAACAATGGGAAATGTAGTGTTTTCAAAGGCCCCCCCCCCAATGTTGCAGGGGGCATTCTCTGGGTGTTTGGTGCTGCTTTGGAGTGAATCAGATGACATTGGACCTTTGGAGAAATCGTGACCCTGTGGGTTAGGGCACTGAAGCCTCATTTTGGGGGGGGCGCCATAAAACGTGGGGTTTTCACTGCCATGGATCACAAAACGGCTGCTGTTTTGTGCAAAGCTGGTAGACTGAGAAACTAGTATTTTATTTTTATTTTTAAAAAGATAAACTAAAGGTGTGTGCTTACAGGTAAACAGATACCAGTGTGCATGCCCATTATGACCTCAGGCAAGAATCAAGAAAATACAAGTGGTCCCTCTTAACTGACATTCTGAACTGAACAGAACTGAAGGGAGGGGCTGGTTCTGGAGCAAAGCTGTTTAGATTGGGTTTGGGTGGATGCGAAGAGGATGCCTCAAACTTCTTGGGCTTTGCTTCTCAACTTATTCTGCCTTCTGGGACCCCCCAGCCCAAGACCAACCACCTCTTGGATAGGTGAGCATGCAGATATTTTGGAATGTGAGTGTGGGGCAGGATGACCGCGTACGAAAGCTCATTTGAGCACAAGTGCTGGCCCCCCTTTTCTCTCCCATGGAGGCCCTGAACTGGCCAGCTCCTGGTTCAGGGCCTCCAAGGGAGAGAAAAGGGAACCTCAGTTACTCTTTGCCTTCTGAGGACAATGTCTCCCTCCCAGAGCCCCAAGACTTACGGCTGCTGCTCTAACAGCCTCAGGACATCCAAGGGATCATGAGCAAAGCACACAAGCCCTGCCCGCCAGATGTGAAGCACTCTACGGAGAGAATTTGGGTTTTTTAACTGGCTGAACAGAGTTTCAGCCCTTGGGAAATTTCATTTCTTAAACATACACCTTCCCCTTCCTTGTGTCCCTGGGGAGAAAAGCCAATCCTGCTTTCTTCCTTTGGTAATTTAATCAGAGGAAATAACTCTTTCAATGGTCTAATAGATTTGCTGAATCATGAATTCTGTACATGCACAGAGGCTATACCTCTTGAAACCCCAAAGATGGGCAAGATGGGGCATTTCTCTCCACCTGGCTCCACCGGATATTGCTGATGGCCAATGAAAGCCCAAGTAGGGATTCCTAGTGGGGGATGTTGCTGTGGTATAGTGGAGGAGCAGGGCCAGGAGGCTAACTTGGACACCTGAGAACACAAAAAAGCAGCAGCAAAACAACTACATGTTTCCTTTTAAATGGGCCTTCCTGCTGAGTGTAAAGCATAGATCCTCATTTTTTAAGGGAAAAGGGAGAGAAGGCTTCTCCCAAAGTGTTAGAAGGCCACAAATAATGTAACAATAGAACAAAACAAATGTGCCGTTTCATGTGATACAGAATCCTATGTGCAAATCTGTTAGATTGAGAAATTTGTACTAAATAAGAAAAAAAAATTAAAGGTGTGTGCTTGCAGGTAAACAGATTGGAGATTTTCTGCAAGATCTTGTGAGATCTCATTGAAGTCTTGCAAGATGTCTAGGAGAGCAAAATATGTATTGAGATTTGGGAGAGATCTTGCATGCTCTTTCAGGGACCAAAGCCATCACTGCTGCAGCGCCAAAGGCAGGTGGCTAAGGGGTGGTGCGTGTCCCACGGGGCGAAATGGGATGTACCCCCCCCTCAAGCTCAGGATTCCAGAACTAACAGCTGTCAGTTGGGAGGGACGGAAGGCAAGGACCCACAGCCCAGGTGGGGCTCGCTAGCTTGGGGAGGAGGTGTGTGATTCCTCAGCTGGAGTAGATGCAGGACAGTTGAGGCTCACATGCCTCATCACCGCAGAAGCTATAACTGGAAAGCTGTCCTGGCCAGGCCTGTGTCCTTTGGCTTCAGTTGGGAGCGAGACGGATGACGTCTGATTTTTGGCGAAATATTTTTTTTAAAAAAAATTATGATTTTCAAGTTTATACATTTCAATAATTTTGCACAGAATATACACAAACAATACACAATACCTAGACAAACAAACATATAAACATACAGACTTCCCCATACCTTCCCCTCCCTGCATCCCTAATTTTGAACTTCCTCAGCAACTCCTCAGTCTGTTTATTCAAATCAATTTCTTTTATGTTTCCCTAGATTTGTTAATCTTCTTACATCTCAATCCCTATAGTTATGTCGACAAGTTATCATTTTCCCTTCTTACCCTATTAATATTACATCTTTTATATAAGTTTAGTTCTTATCCTAAGTTGGACTCCAATTCCCTTCCATCAATTTCACAATTTTATAAGATATAAACATAATGACTGAACCCATAAAAAAGCAAATGAAAAAAAAAGTAAAAAAAGAAACCACAGGTTTCTGTTTTCCCCTTCCCATCCCCGGTTTCTGCCCCTTCCAGATATGTGCCCACAATAACAGTCCTTAGCCTGGGTTCCTCACGTCCGAGGCGGTTGAATTTCTTTCCTTTCCTCTCCGCCGAATTTGTTGGTAGGCCTTCACGTTGGTCTTAAGATCTTTAAGGAGTTCTGTCCCGATCAAGCGAGATTTTGTTCCCTCCACAGCCTTTAAAGACAACTGCTGCAGAAGCTCCAACCATCCTTCATATTCAAGTTCAAGATGGAGGTCCCAATCATATTTTTCCTTTCTTTTAAGTTCTAAAGTTCCCAGTATTCCAGGGGCTTCCTCCTTCATCTTTCGCTTCTTTTGCAGATTTTTAATCCATGTAATCCAAAAGTCTTTTTGTTTATACACCATTTGTAGAGGCTTGGTACTTTCCAACGGTACTTTCTCCTTTACTTGTTTTGTCTCCACTTCTTGTGGTATCTCTTCCAATTCAGCTGCAGATTCTTTCTCATACAGTTCCTCATTACTTTCAACAGAGTTGCCTATTCCAGTAGTCAAGGTCACAAGTTGTTTATTCATTGCAAAAGTCTGTTCATGTAAAATTCCCAAAAGATAAAATGTTCTTTCTATCTCAGCCAGTAAATTTCCATCTGCAGCCATTGTAATGTCACAAAGTTCCCCCTAGAGGGAATCTAGTTACTTAGTAGTCTTTTCCCAACAATCTCTTACTTCATTGCTAGTTTCTTTGTTTCCAACCACTTGAATTCAATTATATTTTATTTAGTCCAGAGAGGTCTTGAATAACAGGCTTTTCCCTTTTAAATTGCCCGTTTGACAGCTTTTGACAGCTGTCAAACTCCTTTCCTTTTCAACAGGCTCAACAGCAGGGCGCTCCCGGGCCCGGGAGGGGGGTTTACATACAACAGAGAATTTCTAAAAATCCACTCTTATACTCCTGCTCAGTCCTTCTTTTACGAAATCATAGAAGTTAATATTCTATCCTTTTTCCTTGACTCACCCCAAAAAGGTGGGCTCTCCTGCTTAGTTCTACTTTTCCGTTGCTTTAAGAATCATGCAGTCGGGGAGGCAGACTTCCTTATTTTATGCCTTTCCCGTTTTCAGCCGAATTTCGGAATTCAATTTAGATGTCCCATTTAAGTTACTCAGTCCTACTCACGAGTATTGTGGTCGAATTTTCAGATTCAGGAAGGAATCGGCGCTCTCCGTTAATGGCGACGCGGCTTCACTCCACGGGCTGGGTTGCGACTCTCAGCACCGCGCTCACTCCCGATGCCGCTCCGGAGCCTTTAAAAAGGCTCTTTCGCGATATCGGGGGGCGCAAATGTGCCCACCGAGTCTCCTTGCTCACAGGCTTCTGCGCCTGTGATTTTAGGGGCCCCCCGCTCGCCGTAGCGGGTCAGACCCGATCCCGTGGAGCAGTCCTGCCTCGGAGCTCGAGGCAAGGACCGCCATTAAGCGCTGGCGCCGACCGGAAGTCCCCTATAACTCAACTTCTGGATGCAATTGCTGCCCTTACAACACCAGCCCATATGCCCCTTAGGAAGAGAGGTATGCAATTTTAGCATGTCAGATTGCAATGTGTATAAAGGTAAAGGTACCCCTGCCCATACGGGCCAGTCTTGACAGACTCTAGGGTTGTGCGCCCCATCTCACTTAAGAGGCCGGGGGCCAGCGCTGTCCAGAGACACTTCCGGGTCACGTGGCCAGCGTGACAAAGCTGCATCTGGCAAGCCAGCGCAGCACACGGAAACGCCGTTTACCTTCCCGCTGGTAAGCGGTCCCTATTTATCTACTTGCACCCAGGGGTGCTTTCGAACTGCTAGGTTGGCAGGCGCTGGACCGAGCAGCGGGAGCGCACCCCGCCGCGGGGATTCGAACCACTGACCTTTCGATCAGCAAGCCCTAGGCGCTGAGGCTTTTACCCACAGCGCCACCCGCGTCCCAATGTGTATATACAATGCAATGTGTATGCACGTAGACAAAAAACCCGCCCACTTCATATCACCAATTCAAGTAAAAAAAAAAAAAGGCTGACAATTAAATGAAGGATGAAATAGATTCTGAAGTGTTTTTAAAAAATAAATAAATCTGCAAACACCTGAAGCTATTTCACTCCAGACCAACAGCTTTTCAGAGCAGCGCAATGGTTTTATTCTCAATGCAATCTTGGAGAGAAAGGCGGCCAAAGGTTTGTGGTGCTTTGCACATCGTGTTGCAGAACTACAAAAAGCCCTCCTTGTCATTCTGGGATTAGATTTTCTGTAGTTTAAAATTTACTCTCACCTCACGTACACATACCATTCTGAAAGCAAGTTTGCCTTGAAAGACAGAGAGAGAGATATTCACATGTTCACAGAAAAACGCATTACCTTCTCATTTGGGGAAGCCTCAGATGTACTCAAACTATTCAGATGACAGCAGTGCACTTCCTTCCCACTTTTGTATTCCCAGAGCCTCAATGTGCAGTCCTGGGAAGGGAGTACAGTTCAAAAGAGAGAGGCTGATTAACACCGCTTCTGTCAAGAAGAAGACAGCCATACATGTATGCACACACTCTCAACAGAATCGGATACCTGAGGCCCCTCAGATGTTGTTGGGCCACAGCTCCTGTCAGCATGGCCAATGGTCAGGGATGATCAAAGAGCCAAGCTTTAAATCCCCACACAGCCATGAAGCTCACTGACTGAGAGACAATGACTGGTCCAAGGTCAATGCCACAGGATTGTTGGAAAGATAAAAGTGGGAAGAGAACCATTTATGCCACTTTGAGCTCCTTAGAGGAAAATATGGGACAGAAATGCAAGTGATAATAAAATAAAAATAAAAGAATGGGAGTTGTAGTTAAGCAACATGTGACAGATCACAGGCTCCTCAGTCCTACTCTATGAAGTGAAAAAGGCCTATTCTTAAATGCATTCAACTTTAAATGGCAAAACCACCCAACACAAAAATGCAGCAGTGTTCTGTGAACATTCATTGTAGTTATGTTTTACATTTCCTTATTATGGTAATCAGGATTAGATGATCCTAAGAAAGCACTTAGAAAAGTTGGTAGCTTCCTCCTCACCTCCCTAAAGGATGCTCCTGAGAAAAGTGTTTAGAGAAGGAACATAAAGCAACTACAGTATTTTACCCTCAGCAAGGGAGGAAAATGTGTAAGCAACCTACTAAAATTTCAGATGTAAAATGCCTCAGACAACATACATACCCCAGAAGCTGATAAGAGAAGTTCTGGATAGTTTGGTATTACAAATATTTTGCTGACAAATCTAGGAGAGAAAAAAAGGTCAGTGTTTGTGGTGTACATTCCTAATGCAAGCAAAAAGTAATAAAGTGTGAGGTGAAACATCACCATAGCAACAGAAGGCTCTACACTGGATTAGATCACTATGTTATCTTTTAGGTCAGGAAAAAGGCACACGAACCAATTTACTACCAGTATCTCTGTTTAGAAAATAGATTAGAAAGAGCAAAACCCAAACAATGAAAAAGTGCCAGAGCAGCACATTATAAAGAGTTTTCTGGGACAGGGGAAGATTGTAGTGCAGTATCCAAATGTACTCAATAATGAAAGCCACCTGACATGAATTTTGATTAATAGAGAGTTGGAAAGGCTCCACTGCGTGAGTTTGTGTAAGGGGGAGCTCAACTCCTAATGTTGTCCTTACCTGACAAGAACCAAGAGCTACCAGGGATGCAGCATCTCATCCAGACCAGCTCTTTGGGCTTAGGGAGCAATTCCTGAAGAGCCTGGACAGGTGCCTGTCCAACCTCTTCTTAAAACTCTCTAGTGTGGGTTGGGGGGAATCCACAATCTCCTCAGGCAGCTTAAGGGTAGCCATCCTGGTGCCCTCTCAGTGTTGCTGGACTCCAGCTCCAGCCAATCCCATGAACCCCAGCATGCATGGTCAATAGACAGGGATTGTGGGAGTCACGGTCCATCAACATTGGCAGGGCACCCCATTGGCTAGCTTGCTGTGTAGCACTGATCTTAAAATATGTCTTCCTACCTCCCCTCTCCCCGCCCCCCTTATAAACAGGCCGCTCTTCCCTTTTCCTCATGTTGCAGACTTTCTACAACTGCACTTACTCTCTGTGTCCCAGGCAGAAGGACACAATGTTATGTGGTGCTCTAGTCAAACTAACTCGTATCTTCTCATCACGGTCAGCGGTCAGGATATACTGGTCATCGGGACTCAGCGCCTAATGACACAACACAGGTCACCATGAAACAGCCCAGGAGGCTTTGCGGCATGCAGACACATATGGGAAATAAGTACACATCTACCAGCCTGGTTTCAGATCTCTTTGGTTTCAGATTGACAAGACATGGGAAAAAAGTCTACAAAAGCTACTAGTCTTGAACATTTTGCTGGCCTGTTTAGTCACACTTGTCTGTGCTTATTTGTAACACACTGTGACACACAGAAAGAGCTACATTTTCTTCCAAATTACAAGTTCTCCTGAAGTGAGTAAGAGTCCCCTGGAGATGACCCTTACTCACTGCAGGCAGCAAAACTAGGGGTTCTTGACAATCCTGCCACACAAAACATAAAAAGGTTGGTTAAATTTATGATGCAAGCAAAAGCTGGGTAAGTTTTAAATAAGCGATAACCAAAGATAATAATAATCTGGCTATCTATCTGGTTTTGCTCAAGAACAGACACATTGAAAATAATGAACACGACTAACTTAGGTCCCTTAATTTTAATGGCATTACTCTGAGTAAAACTTAGTTGACTATCAGCCATTGTTTTCAAAGGAGGTAGCTGAAACTTCATATTTAACAATAGGTTTACAACCCAAACTTATTTTAGATATCTTAAACATTTTTATACTATTCAAACCCATTCAAACCAAGTCTTCTGGATTGTTCACAAAACAATATAAAGGAATAGTCAAACACAGAACACACGTTTATGTTGAAAATAGTTTTGTTGAGTTCACTGAGCTTTTTCCACTGTAACTGTGCAGACCCAATGAATTCAGGGGAAATTAATTTAAAATGAACATGCTTAGGACTGGGCTGTATATTTATGCTTGGGACTCTTCTTTAAATAAACAGAGATGGTATTGAACCAGAAATTGCATACATACCACATCCAACAGAAGAGACAAGTGACCAAGTTCAATTGTTCCTGCATTTTCAGGCTCTGTTGTTGAGTACGAATAGACATCACCTGATTTGTCAGCAACCAATATCTTATCTTCTGCCGCTGTTATAATCAGGGAAGTACATCTTCTAATGACAGACCTGGAATGAAGAATTGACACTAATTAGGGTCTAAAACTTCCTCTTTGGAAGATTAGCCTTTATAGCTAAATTATGTTTGCACATCACATTCTGATTGCTAAATTTGGTGGCAGGAAGGCATTTTCCCAGAGAAGTTAATGGCCACATTATTTGCATGAAGATCTGCAGAAACTAAAAGAAATGAACAACGTGTTTTACTTACTAATAAGTACCTGAAAAGGGTTATTGGTAGCCAGGGGAAATAAGGCACTGCAGCTACAGAATTTTAGAAAGCCTGCCCTTTGGTCTTTCTGGAAGTGGTAACAGAAGATCTCAAAAGAGAAGGGCTTAATAATCCCAGTGAGAATCTAGCACCAAAGGAGTTTAAAGGGTATGCATGAAGCACAGTTCTAAATCCTAGGAATAAAATTCATTCATTCATTTATGACCACTCTTAACCTGACCTTAATCGTAATCCCACTTTAATCCTACTCTTATTCCCATCACCACACACTGGACAAGCAAAAAAAGGACTCCTTTGCTTTGTCCCTATTTTTTCCTAACTTTTAAATGAATATAATTTGACACCTTCACCCACAATGTAGTCTCTTTTTAGAGCTGAAAGGAAGTATAGAAACATTTTTTTAAATAAATAAACTTCTGACACCAAAATAAATTTCTGTTCTTCATACTGGGTTGGGAGGTGGGGGGCCCTTTTATCTGAATTACAGAATGGAAAGAATGTATCAAGTCACAATATAGAGAGTTCATGATCAGGTACCTGTGAAATCTTGCACATTTTTAGTGAGGATTATCATGACTAAGAACAAAGTGATTGTGAAATCATCTGAGTTTCAAAAACAACTTGCAGGGTAGTGCAACAAAGTTAATAAATTATGTTACGGGGCTGCTCTTCAGCTGTAATTTTCAGAGCGGCTTACAAAAAACACATAAAATAAAATAATACAACCAAGCAAACAAATAGCAGGCAGCTAAAACCATCATAAAGATAAAGCACAGAAGGCTAAAACCAGATTTTATTTAATCTCTTTAAAAAATTCCAAAATTTAATCACCAATTTAGCTTAAGCCTTTTGTGAACGGAAAAAAGAACTAGGTGCAGTGTAAAGTTTTAGACTTGGGTGAGGCAGATCTGAGTGACTTTGACCAAACAACATAGGTTGCCCGTCCCAGCACTAGAGGAAGTGAAGGACACCAATAATGGGTAACTTTTCTATCAGTAAAGTTAAATATATCTGATCAGTTACAGAAAATGATCAAGAAATGTAAAGAAGTTTGTCTTAAAACAGCTCTTATTTATATGTGGGTACAAATATTTCTCCTGAAGTGCCTTCCTTTCCATACCTTACACTCAGACATTCCCAAGACGGTTTCGTACGAAAAAGGATCAGTCGTTTGTTGTCATCAGTCAGAGCAAAGTAGGTTCCTGATGAAGAAAACGTGCAGGCAAGGATATCGTTACTTGCTTCACCCACTGACTTTCCGTCATCTCTAAAAACAATGAGAAAGAAAAAAAATATTCAAGACCTAGAGGTTTTGCACCCAGTTACCTCAGTCTAAGAACAGGAATTGCTATTTAGTAGGTTTGATCAATACAACATTTGTTTATTGACTAGAGTATCTGTACTACTAAGTAAATGGATACCTTATGGAATTATGTTTTCTATTATTTCAGAGGGTATCCTTCCTTCCACAAGTGTGCAGTAAGATCAGATTTTTAAAAAACTTTACACACCAAATCCTTTCTTATAAACAATGGTGAAGGCAGCGCTCATGGTCGAAACAGAGATATCTATAGCCCACCCCCCAATGGCAGATGATGGGGTAGCAGCAAAGAGACCTTCCTTCTTATTTAAAAAAAACATTTTACGGCTAGGAGGCAGCCAGTCAGGAATGTACATGTTTGCAGATATTCACTGTACTATTTTTACTTTAAAATAGCTGAACAGTACAGTGTGGTGTAGTGGTTAAGAGTGGTAGACTCGTAATCTGGTGAAACCAGGTTTGTGTCCCCGCTCCTCACATGCAATTGTTGGGTGACCTTGGGCCAGTCACACTTCTCTGAAGTCTCTCAGCCTCACTCACTTCACAGAGTGTTTGTTGTGGGAGAGGAGGGGAAAGGAGATTGTTAGATGCTTTGAGACTCCTTAGGGTAGTGATAAAGCTGAATCCAAACTCCTCTTCTTCAGTACTCATTCCCAAGTAAATGCACTGAGCATCAGGGCAGCAGAAGCAAGCACCATTTTATCTGTGTAGGTGCTATGATTTAAGCGAGTTTTAAAAAGGACAAACTGCATATGCCCAGCACACTTTTTATTATTAGGGTAGTCAAATAGTTTTTTGCTTGGTATATTTCTCTAACTGATCAGGGATGTGGAAGCACTTGTAAAGTGTGGAATGGTGGTGGAAGGGAGAAATATTAAATTATGTAGTTCACAACTGAAGAAAAACACACGACCATTTAAAACCCCATCCCATACCAGACTATTGAGTCCAAGGTTTAGAATCACTTAGCTGCATCACTGCATATAAGTAGTTTGTATTCCTCAATTTGTTTATGTATTTTATGTGACATTGGTGGTAGCGGCAACATTTATTTTCAGCTACAAACAACAACTCTAAGAGATGTAAATGTCATTCAAAATGATGGAATGCAGCGGATTTCCTACTGCAGATTAAGGAAAATTTAAACAGTCTTACCCTTGATTCTGTTGAAGTTTCTCTGTTGCTGTGGAACAGTCATAAATGAAAATATCTTCATTCCTGGAAATTATATAATTACATCAGGTCAGTATTTTCCAATAAGCATAGTATCAGTTGTGTCTCATCTTACTTACCATGCCTTTTTAAACAGTAAAATTTCAAAATTAATGAGGTTTTCTGTTTCATTTTATTGCAGAGGAATATATAGACATGGAAAATACTAGGGCAGAAAACACAGAGAAGTTTTAGAATCTTTTATGAAAAGTATCTTTTACATGGTTCTTTTTTTTCAAACTTCTGCATTATTACCACAGATGTCAGTACCTCTATACAATAAATGTAATTAAATGGTCCATTATTTATTGGCCAGAGACTGATACAGAGCTTCCTTATAGCACAGCTTTATACATGTCCACTCAGAAGTATATCCCATTGAGTTAAATGGGATTTACCCATTTCACAGTTCAATTACAGAATCCGTCTATTAAGAGGGATCAGGTAGTAACCATGGGAAGTTAGAAAACAATAGGAGTGGAGACCTATTGTCAGCACTAACAATACACTGTCTACCTAGAGTAGCTGACTCAAAATTAAGCAACTCATTATATAATATCTTGAAACCCAAGTGATCATATATTTTAAGAAGAGCAGTGGGTAATACATTCTCCAAAGCAGAAAATGTGCAGAAAATAAGAAGCAGAGAACGTGCGTACTCTGATTGCTTTTACTTCTGAAAGCATTATCTATTTTGGAACCTTTTTAGCAGGAAAAAACATGTAAATTCAATCATCCTAAACCTATAAGGATGGAGAAAGGCTGTCCACCCCCTTCATCCGACCAGCATTTCATTTGTCGGAAGAGCACTGCAGCCTATTTCCTCTAATTATAAAGATCAGCGTTGTCACTCAACTTTTCTAAGCTGACCAGCATTATGCACACTGACCAGCTGCCTGGATAAACTGTGTGCACACTGCCACCGGTTATTGATCCTGACCCACTGTGAGTATAAAAGGAGGGCAGCTTTGAAGTAACTGATCAGAATTAAAGGGTCACCCGGTTACCGCTTTACACACTCCGTTAAAGAAACACACAACCCTTCTCACACAGCGACTGCCTTACAGCGGAATCTTAACCGTGCCTACTCAGAGCAAGTTCAATGGTAAATGCTGTTAGGGCTGCAGTCTCAGCAGATATATAGACAAGACGACGGGAGAGCGAAGCTAGAAGAGGCTGAACAGGAGCTCCTCGGCCCGGTTTCACTCACCCAGGCTCTTTGTAAAGGGCCGCCAGGAGCTTGGCTCCACCGGTGACCACCATCAGGTCCCCGCAGACGGCCAGCTCCGGGGAAGAACCCGCAACCCCGGCGGGGTCAGCCGCCTCCATGCCCGACAACAGAGCCGCGTGCGGGAAGCCACACAGCCGTCGCCGGCAAATGACGTCACTGCGGGACTCCTTGGCAAGGGCCCCTCCTCCCCAGTTGAGGAACGGGAATCCCCACCTCTCCCTCGCCGTCACTCAGCAGCAAGAGAGCGCTGCTCATTGGATACTGCAGGGAATGTGGGCGGAGCAAGACCCTTGACAGGGGAGGGACCTTTTCCTCCTGGGCGGAGGTTGCAGCAGGGACGAGGTTGGGTGGGACGCCGACATGGCGACGGCTCTGCTAATCTCCTGCGGCCGTACTGCCGTGCTCAAGGTAACCGAGGGTGAAGATCCGAGAGGCGCTTTCGGGCTGGCCGCTCCGTCGCCACAGTGCCGTTTATAATGTTTGTGCCCGTGGACGGACCTTGTGTGCGTCAGGATTCGACCTGACGTTTCCGGGTTGTGCAGCTTGAGTCAGTGCATTATTCCTTGGCAATAAGTTTTGCTGATTTCAGTGGGACTTACTCCCTAGAAGATGGCAGTAGGGCAGGCTTCCCCAGCCTCGGCCCTCCAGATGTTTTTGGCCTACAATTCCATGATCCCTAGCTAGGTGGTCAGGGATGATGGGAATTGTAGTCCCAAAAGCATCTGGAGGGATGAGGTTGAGGAAGCCTGCGGTAGGGTTTTAGCTGTAACTTCAAAGCCTGCAGGGCAATGGGCAAACTCTTAGCTGCCTCTTTGATTTTGGCTTTTCATGCTATCATTTATTTTTATTGATATTGAACGGTGGAGGCTGTCACTCAGAGGTAACGCCCAACATTTGCATCCAAAAGATCTCAAATTCAGTCTGGCATGTGTAGGTAAAGGATCTCTGGTAGCAAAGCCAGGAAATAACTTTTCCCGAGGCCTTGGAGAGCAGGAGAACCACTGTAAGTCAGACTAGAGCATGCTTGGCAGATTACATTTTCATTAATTTGGGGAGAGAGATGGAAAAATCACATAATTGCTGTTGCCGGTTGCTGTATTGTTCTACCTCACTGAGGGCTGCTTTGCTGACACCCTAGCCCTCGCTCATGGGACAAGTGCTTGCATTTTTTTTCTAGAACACGGATCGGATGAACCAGTCCTGATTGCTCCTGGGCCACATAGTGCCTACTGTGATTTTTTGCAATTAATGCAGGTCTAGAAGGATTTTCTGGACCCTGACTTGACCAATCAATATATTTCTTACTTTTTAAAGAAAGAGAGTGCACCCTACATTACCTAATGCTGTTTAACAGCCCTAACTAGTATAGATCATCTGACTATGTGCTGTTGCTTTTATAACCTTAAACCTTAAACTTCCCAAGGGGGCTTGGTGGGACCTGCACCCAAAAGAGCCTTATTTGAGTGCCTGTTATCTCCTCCTACATTCTGTCTGGGGACTCATGCCAGATGCAGACACTTTACCACCACCCACCACCACCTGTGCTTCAGCAGTAGATTCAAGGGAACCCCCAACTATGAACTCAACACTGTGACACACACAACACACACCCCGCCGCATGGAGTTCCTTCCATCAGCTTAGGCTAGTGGCCTACTCGCAAACCTATCTAGTAGGGATAACTTGGCTACAGTAATCTATGCTCTGGTAACCTCAAGTCTGGATTGCTGCAATATGTTTTATGTGGGGCTGCCTTTGAAAATGTTCAGAGCTTGAGTTAGTTCAGAATGTGCCTGGCCAACTGGTGATGGATTTGAGGCAACATAAGACATGCCTGCTGGATCAAGCCAGTGGCCAGTGGCGCAGCTATGGTCCAGCATCCTGAGGGAAGCCTGCAAGTTGGACATGAACACAACAGCATTCTGCCCATCTGTGATGTTCAGCAACTTTATTCAGAGGCATAATGCCTCTGACAGTAGAGAGAGAACATAGCCATGAATTTGTCTGTAAGAACAGATAATATAACACCTATAGTCTGTTCCAACTTCGCTAGCTGCCTGCATGCTTCCAAGCCCAATTCAAAGTGATGGTTTTGACATACAAAGCTCTTTCCTGCTCAGGACTCCAGTATCTTCTGGAATGCCTCTCCCTATACGAGAGACCCATAGATCTTTGTTTGAGGCTCTTCTCCCTTCTGAGGGAGGCTAATGACAAAGGAGAGGGCCTTTTCAGTTTTGGCTTTGTATCTGTGGAATTTGCTCCCCACCGAAGCCTTCATTGACATCTTTTTGGCACCAGGCAAAGGCTTAGCTTTTGTCACAGGCTTTTGACAGACTAAGACTATATTGCTTGTTATTAGTATGCTGCCAAAGTGTCCTGTGGCTATTATGGGGTTGTTGGTTGCTCTGTTTTATGGTATAATATATTTGTGATTTTAGCAGAATTGTAAGTCACTTGGAGTCCTTCGAGTAACAAGCAGTCAACAAACCAAATAATAGAAGTAGTAGTGCAAGTACTGACATGGTTACCTTGTGTTCATATTCCTCTTTAACAGGTGCTATAAACTATAGGTTGCTGTGGTGCAGGCTTTAAATCCTCTAGTTGTATAAGGCTATAAATTCTGCAGTGAGTATTTCTTCAGGTATGTTTAGTGCCACTTGCCACTTTTAGACTACCAATAATTTCTTCACTGGTAAAATAATAAAGTTCCTTACGGCCTAGGTAAAAGGCATGGTGGCTTTATTAGATGTGAACCTACATTAATGTAATATTCTACAATGATGCAGAAGGTGTATGTTGTTGTTGTCTTCATTCTCTCCCACCGCACCCCAAATTGTACATTACATTCACTTGTCAATCAGTTCTGTATTTGGAGCAGGAGAAAGAAGCACACTTCAGTGTGCTAGCACCAAGTTTTAACATTCCTCTTAATTGCAAGGCATCCGTAACCATTTCCAGATATAATAATAAAAAAGCATTTATTTGCACTGTACCTGTTTTATCTGCACAGAGCTGTGTCAAAATCCTTATTTGAATGTAAAGTCCATTTACTTGTACCAAACTTATGCCCCTTTACGTGAGGCTGGAAAAAACTAGGTATATTTGTACAGGTGCATAAGCATTTGATATATATGGCTAGGACCTGAAGTAAGAATATTTGTTTGAGAGTAAGGGTGTCTTTTTATATTTCTAAAAGTTTGTGCATGTTCTATGTGAATACTTGTTGGTACAAATGGGTATACATGTAGCAACATAGGCTTTTGTTAGTTAAGACAACATTTCAGATTTCATAGTTTTCTTAATTTGCACAGTTTATGCTCTGGAAGGAATTGCAGGGAGTGAGTGGTCTGTTTTATCACAACTGCTGTACATATATGCCTGATTTTTAGTCATATTTGTCTACATTGTGCTTTATACTTTTTGTAGCCTGGATAATTATAAATGACATTATTAAATCAAGTGTCTTTCTAATTATTACAGATTTTCTACTTATTTCAAATTCTTTTACAGACTTTTAAGTTGCAAGCATGGGGGCTTCGAAGTGTACCTCCTGCTGTTTCTCTCTGCACCAAACCAGGGGGTGATAAGAAAGTCTCCAAAAAAAGTAAGATATCTTTTCTTATTTGTTAATTATGCAAGTTATAAGATGGTTTGCATAACATTTTGTAACAATATTGAACAAAAGTTTGTTAGTTTTAATGGTCTGCAGAATGTTAAGATTCAGACTTTTAAAATTACATCTAGTGGTTATTACCATATTCTAGGCATTCTGTAGAGGACTTGTATAGCAACTTTTAAAGCCACAGGTTCACCTAAAATATCAAGGTTTATTTCTAAAATAATTGGATTATTCTAACATCTTTTAAGAGATTAAAACATTCAAAGCAGCAATACTTGCAGCTGTCAACCTATTAAACTCCATTTAGCAATTTCAGTGTAATAGACAGAAGGCAGATATTTTAGGAAAACGCTCTCTATAATTAGCCATTAGAACAGGAATACTGGACTACAAGTCCCATCATCCCTTATCATTGGCCATGCTAGCTGAGACTGATGGGAGTTGGGAGTCCAACAGCTCCAGGAGGGCCAGGTTCATCTCTGTTGTAGAGTTTAATAATTTCTAACAAATGGATGACAGGAAAGCAGAGCTCAAGGCAATTAGCCAACCCAATGAAGTTCACTACAATGAAGTTTCTCACTACATCAATGTCATTCCCAGGAGCTCTTTGGGTTTTTCTTTATTTTTCTTTATTTGCAGTAAATTTACATCACATGCCTTGCCTGTATCTAAAATAATTTCAGGGGAATATTTAACAGCATTACCAGCTCCAATAAATGTAAGGTTACGGTCAAAACGTTGGGAGTCCCTCAGCAGTGTTTTTCTTAGGGAAGATAGAGACAATGTATGGGAATAATGATACATGGTTGTTTGTGAAATACATGAGTGGGCTTGTTTTATTAAAGATGTGAAACCTTTATTAAGATGTGAAATCTTTACATGCAGCATCCAATCTGCATTAAAATAGGTTTCAGAATATATACATATAAAACTTACACATTTGGTTGGAAAATCCCTACTATTGGGTTCCTTGATTGTTTATTAGCAGTTGCTGATAGAATTCTCCATGCATAAAGGTAAAGATAAAGGTAAAGGTAAAGGGACCCCTGACCATTAGGTCCAGTCGTGACCGACACAGGGGTTGCAGCGCTCATCTCGCTTTATTGGCTGAGGGAGCCAGCGTACAGCTTCCGGGTCATGTAGCCAGCATGACTAAGCCGCTTCTGGCGAACCAGAGCAGCGCACAGAAATGCCGTTTACCTTCCCACCGAAGCAGTACCTATTTATCTACTTGCACTTTTGATGTGCTTTCGAACTGCTAGGTTGGCAGGAGCAGGGACCGAGCAACGGGAGCTCACCCCGTTGCGGGGATTCGAACCACCGACCTTCTGATTGGCAAGTCCTAGGCTCTGTGGTTTAACCCACAGCGCCACCCGCGTCCCTGCATAGTGAACTCAAATTGACCAACAGTAACAAAATCACTTTCTATTCTGCTATTTGAGAAGGGTATTGGTACCACTCCTGTAGTCTCATCTGCCATTCTTAAATGTTACTTTAGGGAAATTCAGTACCTTAATTTGATTCTCTTTGACACAGTATATTTAAGC